GTTGTCGGTTTTCCTCTATTTAGACTGCCGACCGGATGCGTTTCCTGTTGTTCTCCATGTTTTTTTTTCCACACACACACACACACAGGCGGTTTTTCACTCTTCCAAAACAATGCGTTTCCCTGTTTTATCATTATTTCGATTTTTTTTTCGGAATACTCGTATTTGTCTATAACGTGCCGACGTTATAGACACGTCGTGTATACGTTCCCGTACGCGGGATTTAATTCCCGTGTTCCTGGAACATTTTCAGGAAAAAACTTTCAAGGGAAAACCGGCGTAATGGGCCTTTTCCGAATGGCTTTTCCTGTTCGCGAGTTGTTTTTCTTGTTTTTTGGCCGGTTGCTTTCGTCTGATAGAATCTCGTCCAGGAATGAGGATTTTGTTCGTGATTTTTGTATTTTTTTATGTACGTATAATATTCTAAAAGCGAATCGGATATATGGATATATGTGTGCTATATTTTTGTGCATAAATGTTTCCTTTGACTTAATTAAATTTTATCAAAGAATAAAGTTTATTCAATTAATATATTATACGATTAACGAACTAAAACAGTCAGCAATAAAGTGGGTCTCAAAATAAATTTATCAAAATCTAAAGTAATATACAACGAACTAGTGGAAAGAAAAGATTCATTCTAATAAATAACACAACACTGGAAATAGTAGAAGAACTTTGGAACAACTAATACACAGCTCGGGATCTCTACTACCAGACATCAACAGAAGAATTAAATTAGCATGGAGTACTTATGGAAGAAACTCAATCATATTCACTCTATCTAAAGAAGAATACCTTCGACCAACGTGTTCTACCAGTCATAACCTATGCATGCGAAACCTGGACAGTTACAACGGACATTATAAGGAAACTGCAGGTCGCACAATGCTCAATGGAACGAAATATGTTGGGAATAACCAATAGAGACTGTAAAAGAATAAAGTGGATATGACAAAGGACCCAGGTAATGATCCACAGAGTCAAATCCCCCTAATGGCAATGGACAGCACACCTGGTAAGAAGAACGGACAGCAGATGGATCACAAAAATTACAGCATGCATGCACTAGGAATTAAGAGACCTAGAAGAAGACCGAACCTGAGATGGGACCATGATATTAGGAAATTAGCAAGGATAACTTGGGCCTGCATAGCCAGCAATAGACAATAATGGGCCCAACTACACAGAGAGTATCTAAATATGTGAGGGAGGCGACACCATAATTGGAAATGGTTTAATAAGCTGAAAATGATGATGATTATACGATTAAAAGTATACTCAGTTAATACTAGCTTTAGTTATTTACTGATAATTAAATTATACATAAATCTAAACGTTTTAATACAGCGAAGCAAAAAAAATGTCGTAAATATATTGCGGATGTTCCAAGCAAACACATTTCTGGAACCTATCTATATCAAAAGTACTAACAACTTATTACATATAGTTTAGATATTTACTATTTATGAATTTTATATCATCAATTAAATAACACTCCTTGCGTGCACCATAATTATTATAAACCATTGATTCCAAAAAGCTTTGACTCTATGGAATAATTCCTCCTCTTCTTCTGCTTATAATAAGACAAGTTTCTGTCAATTCTGACAATTTTGATCTTCATAATTCAGAATTTGTTATAGAAAATATGTTTTTGTGTAATGTACTATATTAAATTAATTCTTTTTTAAATAACTAATTTTACAGTTAAAAATGAATACAAAAAATGAGGTGCGACTCGTGTACATCGAAATTATGTACAACTTTTCTATTTGAAAGTTTGTTGCTACTACAACTTGTATATTAACATTTTTTGTTACATTTAACTTTTTTCTTATTCATGTGCAGTTTTTCTAAGCATTTCTAGACCAATTTTGACAAAACTGTTAGACCCAGTTATGACTATAGAACCCCTAAACATTTTTAATTAGAAGAAATTTTTAATCAGAGAACATAAAACTGATCACTTTTTGTCTTGCTTAGGTTGAGATTATACAATTCGTTACCAAAAGCGTCTTCAATTTATGTTAAAAACACACAAAATTTCTTTAATTTTATTATTTTCTAACACCCATTTTTATTGGTAGAAACTCCAAACTCCTACACCAACAATCTGCTTTCATTTCAAACAATACACCCAGATAAGCGACACGTCGCGTCGTCTTGCATCTCCTTTGAAAACTACCCCTCGCTGCAGCTTCCTTACCTCCCCAGCCACCCCTTTAAAAACCGTAAACTCGCCCAGTGACCGAATTAAGGTTTTTGCACTGGCTCCACCATAAATTCAGCCGCTCACGTCAAAGTTTGCACAAAAGTGAATGGAGATAAGAAGCCGGACTAAAACGGCAAGGGACAGCATTACACACACCCCTCCAAGAAAAGGACAAAAACGAGGGACGTTATTTTGTTTGCGCGAGCGGGACGTTGATAGCGAGACAAGGGTTGAACTGAAGATATATGGAGTCGGGACGAGACAGAGGATTAAATTAATCACGTGGGGTGTCGTGGCGGGAGCGTTGGATGGGCTAATTAAAGAGTTTTCTGTGAAAATACCTTGAACAGAAGAGCGAACTAATTGTTCCGGATGTCGGGTCCTGTTTTGGGGGGAAACGTGTTGTTTAGAATAATTAAAGCGAATATGGGATTTTATTAATTTGAGTTGAGAGGTTTAGGTAGGGTGGAGAAGTAGGCAATTTTCGTAGAAGTACTGGGATGTGTTACATTATGAATATTAAGACATGGCATCAAGGATAGCTAAAAGTAATTAATGAATTCTTCCCTCAATAGAGAGAATTAATGGGAACTGGAATTATTACATGCACGTGATAACTTAGGGCTATACAGGATGCTACAAATTCGATATACGAGCATTGGTATCTCGGTAACCGTAATAGATACCGAGATATATTTTTTTCCGTAGCGAGTTACGTTTTAAAACATATGCAGAAATTATTATTTCAAGGAATTTATTAAGAGTAGAAAAAATATTGTGCTGGGTTTGCGTTGGTTTCTATGTAATTTGACAAATAAATAAAGCTGTCTCTTTAGTTGTCAGTTTCGAGTCAATATTTTTTAATTCCCTTTCGTGTCGATTGCTGATTGAATTGGAGCCAGAAATGGCTCAAAACGTAATAAGTAAATTACCAACAGATATTCAGGTTGAGGCGACAAACGCCATATCCAAACTACTTCCATTTAGGTTGTTTTACGTTGCTACCTTTTCAACTTGATAATACCACCATTGACATCGTTGATTCTGTGAAATTTTTAGGCCTTGTTGTGGACAACTATTTAAAATGGGATTTGCACATCGATGCTTTAGCTAAAAAATTAAGTTCTGCCTGTTTCGCACTTAGATCAGTTGCTAATGTGCTTAATTTGTCAACATCTAGGACAGTCTATTATGCCCTTTTTGAGTCGCATCTCCGATACGCACTTCCATTCTGGGTGCGTGTTGTGCGACTCAATTTGAGCGTATCTTCAAATTACAAAAGAGAGCTGTGCGATATTCACTGAGGCTAACCAGTTGTGCTCACTGCCGGGACTTGTTTAGAAGATATAAAATATTAACTCTTCCTTCCCTATTCATACTCGAATCCGTCTGCCTAGTTCGCAAGCACGTATCGAGTATTTCTCTAGAGCCAGTTCATGGCTATCCAATTAGGAACGCAGAGCATAACATGTATCTGCCAACCCCTCACTCTGAGTTAGTAAAGAGTTCCCAATTGTACAATGCAAAAAAAAATGCACTATCATCTGCCATCTGAAATTAATTCCATTTCATCCTTTCCTGCATTTCGCAGAGCCTTGAGATCATACTTACTGGAGAAAGCCTTTTACGCGGTTAACGATTTTTTTATTAATATCTAGGGTTCTAAATTTAACACACATTCACTAAATTTAAGAAATGATTTTGTTTTCTATCCATTTAAATTTAGTATTGACATTATATACAGTTGTTTATTTACATGTATGTTTATATTTTATTTATATTTAATTAAATAAATTTTTGACAATACAATTTCTATAATTGTATAAAGTATTGTTTTAGTTTTGTATGTTTGCTGTTAGTTTTATATGTTTTTTTATTGTTAAGTGAAGTTTTGTATGTTTTTTATATTCTTTTTTTTTTTAAGCTTTGTCAACAAAATTGTTTAATTTTTTTATGACAATAAAGCAATTTCTTTCTAAATCCCGAATAACTTATGAAAAGGAATACAAAAACTTTCAAAAATGAAAGTAATTAAAAAACGTGCGAGAAGAAATAAAGGTTTTAATCTATCCTCGCTGTTTAAGTATCATTTAATCTACCCTTGCGGTTAAAGTACTATTTTATCTAGTATTTTTGATAGATATAAGGCTTTTTAACAGTTGCAATGGAAAAAAAGCTATTATTTAACACCTATTATCTCTGTTCGTCGTCTGATTTCCCTCTCCCTGGTTTTGCGAATAATATTTTAAAAATCACTAATTTTATTTATGTATAGGGTGTGTCTTAAAACTGAACGTTTTGAATTTAAATAAATATATCTATTTTTAAATAGGCAGGTCATCTCAAGCTTCAAGATTGTCGTTGATCAAATTTAGAAAAATTATTGTATAAAACAAATTGGGGGGGGGGGGGAACGTCTATTTTGTATAAAAATAGTCTGTTTTCAAACTATATGCATAAATAACTATTAAATGTTTATAACTCTTTTTTATTGTAAAGGTTAAAATTATCTTTTCCACATACACCATTTGCGTTAAACCTCGTTCCCGATACCCGCATAAATCCGGGAGCAATCAAAAACCACCTCCGACACAAACTGGCGTCATAAAACCTCCCAAACAACTTCCTTCTTCCTTGCCCAAACACATCGACTTCCACCATCCTCCCCCCTTGCTCCCCGCGCCATTATTCCCCCCCTTTTGTGATCGCCGATCGTAAAATGCATTCGTTTGCAAGCGAGCCGACTCGAGCGCACATAACTCACGTTCTTTCTCTCGTTTTTCAGGAAATCGCCGCCATCCTTATCAGCTTCGATCGGCACGCGGAGTGGCAGAGCAAGGAGGTCAAGATCAGGTCTGTATTGGGAATTAGGCTTTGGTCAAGCGGCCCGAGCGGTATTAGTTTGCATGCACGAACGACGCAGATCGGATTTTTATGAGCTTGAGGGGCGAATATTGTCGATGGCTTAAGCGTGAAAGTAAACTTGGAGAGGCTAGAAAAATCCGATTTGTGTTATGTAATAAAATCACTTAAGTAGATAATAGGTAGCACGTTTTTTCTAACTAATTATTTAATAGGATATTTCTGTTTAATAGCTTTAACACCTAGTAAATGTAAATTTTTTTTTCAGTATTTTGGGAAGTACATTAGGTTACACTCAGATGCAAAAAAACGAAACGGAGAAATTTTTGGTCAAATTTGTATGTTTGTATAACAAAAGTGTTATATTTTTGTTATTTTTAGCCCTATTTTCATGATTTTTTTAGCAAAGTGTATAAAATTATATCGACTTTAATTCGTAAACTCAGTTTTTTATAAACTTTAGTATTTGACGTACTATACAGGGTTAATCGAGGTATTGTTTTTTAGCCAAACTTTAAAACACCCAGTGCAATAATTTCGTGTGTAAATTTTCCTAAAATATAATTTTAATGCCAGAACCGTGTCTCCTGAGCATTTTGTTTTTTGAATCATGTCAATTCATATATTGCTTAATTTTTAAGACCAAAATGAGTTTGCCACCAACAATTCGCAATTTTTTTCAATTATTATTTCTTTTATGAAATTATTTTTCAATGTGTCAAGACGGCTTTGGTGATTATTGTGAACTATATGTGTACTACCGTATGATCGAATAAAAACGGCGTCAGCGATGGCTATGAAATGAAGATCGCTGTCATTTTATATGTAAAATTATTTTCATTTCACATTTCCAAGCCAACTGGACGCCATTTTTTTTCGATCATACGGTACTACGAACTGCCCATCATGTTCGACATTTGACAAATGCTTGGCAGGAAGGTAGAAGGTCGCGAAGCAGTACCTTCATTAAATGAACTTCGCTTTGTCCTTAAAGAAGAATGGGAAAACATAACACAATATGATATATGCAGCCTCGATGACAGTATGACGTATACAGGCAGTTATAGCAGCCAAGGGCGGGCAATACAAAGTATTGGGGTATTTGTTACAATTTTTTTTCTGTTTGCATATTTGAGTATAACAGCTGTTTTCTTTAATATCGTTAGTCCTTTTATCATTTCTAATGTTTATTAAAACCCGGACTGTATCGTTAGTCTTTAACGTTTTTTTTTTAATTTAGTGTAGAGTATCCAATGCAGTGTAATATGACGTTACGACAATAGTCACCAAAACCATCTCGTCATATTAAAAAATTACATCAAAAAGTAATGATAAATAGAAAAAATTGCAAATCGATCGTTATCAGTTCATTTCGCTCTTAAAAATTAACCAAAACATGTATTGACATGAATCAAAAAACAAAATGCTCAGGAGTCATGGTTCTGACCGTAAAATTTAATTTGATGAAAATTTACTCACGAAATTATTGCACAGGGTATTTTAAAATAAGGGTAAAAAACAGCACCTCGATTAACCCTGTATAATAAGCCAAATATAAGTTAATAAAAAACGGAGTTTACAAATTAAAGTTGATATTTCTCCATTGTTTTTTTTTTGTATCAGGATCCCAGATTTTTAAACTTATTGACCGTTTCTACGCATTGTCCGATCATCATCATTTTCAGCTTATTCAACCATTTCCAATTATGGTGTAGTCTCCCTCATATATTTAGATATTCTCTTTGTAGTTGGGCCTATTGTTGTCTATTGTTGGCTATGCGGACCCAAGTTATCCCTGCTAATTTCTTAATATCATGATCTCATCTCAGGTTCGGTCTTCTTCTAGGTCTCTTACTTCCTCGTGGGTACCATGCTGTAATTTTTGTGGTCCATCTGTTGTCCGTTCTTCTTGTCAGGTGTTCTGCCTATTGCCATTTGAGAAATTTGACTCTGTGGAGACCAGAGACGTAAACTGCGATGTCTACGCTTGTTTTATCGACTTCGAGAAGACGTTTGATAGGGTGCAACACCACAAATTATTGAAATATTAATGGAATATGGTATCGACGACAAAGACTTTTGCCTTATAACTAATTTGTATCTGCATCAGAGAGCGACCGTGCGTGTAGACAACGAAACCTCCCAAGAATTTATAGTGAGTCGGGGAGTGCGTCAGGGATGCATACAATTCTGTTTAATACGTACTCCGAAATACTGTTTAGACAAGCGCTCAGTGAAACAGAAGAAGGAATAAAGATCAATGGAGAAACCATCAATAATTTAAGGTACGCGGAAGATACAGTTCTCATAGCAGATAGTGCTGAGGGGTTGCAGAAATTAATAGACCGAGTAGTAGAGGCATGTGATATGTATGGTATGAGACTTAACCGCAAGAAGACCAAAGTTCTAGTAGTTAGTAAAAATGATGGGGCGCAGTACCACCAGTTTAGGGCGAATAACGAAACCTTGGAAACAGCAGATACAATCACGTATTTGGGCTGCAGCCTGAACAAGGAATGGGATCACTCACGAGAGACCAGATACCGCATAGAAAAAGCCAGAACCATTTTTAACCGTCTTGTGGGCAAAAATCCAGCAGTATGTTGCAAAAATTCTTTTTTTGTACGATTTTATTCAAATTTGGTAAAAACATTCTATGCCAGTAGGCCGTGAACCCTGTTAGTTTTGGCTGACTTGAGAGTGGTTGGGGGTGGTGGAGGGGATTCATAAAATGGAAAAATCATCGTGTATACAGCTACCAAAATGCGGTAAGCATATTTTACATTTCACTAAATTTTACGATTTTTGGCAGAGCCAAGATGAAACAGACAAATATTGAGCAATTATTACTCCTCCGCCATATACAGAGTTTGTTTTATATATTGACATCCTCTGTATCTTTTTTATTCGACGTTTTCGCAAAAAGTGTCTTGACTAAAAGTTTAATGGTCTCGAATACATTTTTCAAAACAGTCTTCTTTGCATATACAGGGTACCTTAGAAATACTGTGTGTGGCCCAACTTTCTTATTTCATATTAGTACCCAATTTTTTATTTGATTTTTATTTTCTCCTAAAAATCCTAACTACTTTTTTGTAGCATAGCCTATACCTAATTTGAAATAAAATAGTTAAACCACGCCCAGACTTTTTGAAGCACTTTGTATATGCGAAATAGACTTTTTTGGCAAATTTATTCAAAACCACTTTCATTTGAGACAGTTTTCGGAAACGTCAAATAAAAAAGATAAAGGGGGTGTCAATGTATAAAAGAAAACCCTTGTATACTAATGCAATCGAACTTTTATTCAAGATTGTTTGTCATTTGAATAAGTTGGGTCTCTAATAATACCAGACAATATGTGAACAATATTTTATTATTATATTTAAAATAAGTAACAATATTCTGAGAATTAAACAATGACGATTTAGAAAATAACAGAACTTATACCTATTAAAAATATCTAAATTTTATTTTACCACCTACTATTTACTGATATTTTGTTTTATAACAGCTGGAAGCAATGGTCACGAAGTGCACATTTTTAAATCTGAAAGAAAAATCCATTTCATTTAATTTAAAGAATTAGGTACTGTCAAAATGTGTCAATTTGTCAAAAAATGTTATTTGACATTTATGACATATCTCTTCGGAAATCTTGAGAAAAGTTACGTAACTTTATATTTCAAGTTCTTCTCTAGCTCTACCTACTATAACAATTAATTTATGAGAAGTATCCACATAAAGGATGTTACTATACACATACGCATGGAGGCCTACGCTTCCAATAAATTTAATGTTGCAATTTTTTGCGATTTTTTTGACTTAATTTTTTTAAGATAGAATATATGCCACTATCAAAAAAACATTAAATGATTATGTTCTACTTTGACCTTTACCTAGTTTTTATCCAAAAAATCAAAATAAAAGATAGTTTTTTACTTACCTTCACATTAAATTTACCGCAACCGGGAATCTACGTAAAACACGTTATGACAATTTTACAATAATTATTGACAGTAAGCTAAGGTCGTCCGATTCAATTGTTATAATACTGTATCACTTGAATGCACTATTATTTAAAAAATTATAGAAAAAAGGCAGTTATTGGACACAAATTAACTGAAAATGTAGGTTTTGCGCAAAGTTCGTTTTACAGCCCCGCGAAAGAGACTCCGAATATGTTTTTTTGTTAGTTTTTTATGTGGTTTCCTCTTAACTAATATGTTTCCAATCTAATGTTATTGCCATAAATGCTAACTGTGGATGTTATTTTTTGCAACTTAGTTTGGACATATTGCCTACTGTGCGTCTTAGAAAAATCCTAGGCAATATGCACCTGAATACTGAATATTGCTATAAGAAAACAGATCCTAAGGTGCTACGTATTCTCCACGCTCCTATATGGAGTGGAAGCTTGGACCTTGACAGATGCTACATCTAAACGCTTGGAAGCCTTTGAAATGTGGTGCTATCGCCGCATGCTCAGGATTTCATACAATTACCATGTCACAAACAACACCGTGATCCAGAGAATGCAAAAGGAACTAGAAATTGTACATAGTGTGAAAGTGAGAGAATGGCATACCTTGGGCATGTGATGCGTAATGATAAATACCAACTTATCCAACTAATACTTCAAGGCAAAATAGATAGTAGAAGAGGTCAGAGACGCCGACTAACATCATGGCTGAAAAATATTAGACAGTGGACGGGAATGACGACCGTACATTTATTCAGGGCGGCTGTCAATAGGATTATATGGACCAATATGATTGCCAACATCTGATTAGGAGGATAGGCACTCTGAAAGAAGAAGAAGAAGATAAGTTCTTGTAGAGCTTCAAAAAAGTTTAATATAACTACAAAGTTACCTCCCTTTCCTTGTTTGCTATACAGTTTCGTTTCAGGAACAATTTGGGAATATACCTCGGCTGTGGCGGCATCTCTCGCGCGCGGCGTAAACGTGTAATAACGCAAAATAAATAATA